GTTGCACTAAGAATGCAAGGAATGACAAAAAACGCGGCATGCTGAATAAATAAATCTACTGAAATGCTACCTTTTATCGCAGACTGTTGTCAGCTGAAAGCGAAAATGATCATTACTTCGATTAGGTATATTTGGCGATTACCAGTCAACTTTATCAGTTCACCTATGACGACTTAAAATTCAGTAGTCAGTATAAAAGCAAATGAATAATTATTAGTTTTGCTGATTCTAATGTAAAGAAATGTGCTGCCCAATGGATGGTTACTGAGTCATAAAGAATTCAGCGTAACGTTCACATGAATCCATACATGAATCAAAGATGATATTTCAGATTTATATTTTTTGAAATTCCTTTCAGACTATGTCTTAATGTGCAATTAATAGTGATCTCTGAGCTGTTTGGTTTAGTTGCGGAGCTTTCGTCGTCCACCTTTCTGGACAACATCTTCAGCGCAATATTTAGCATAAAGTGAAATGATTTAGATGTTTCATGTGTGATAGAATTGCACCTCCCGGTAACCATCTTTACATATGTATTGACCATTTTCTACTGACTCGGATTTTAAACTTTCTGGTCACCTGATCTACATTTTATTAGTTGGTATATTTGGTCTATATATTAACGTGTTTGTTAATTGCATATTTGTTTGAGTACCAGGATTCTATGAATTCCCTGAGTGTACTTTTGATGTTTCCTCTGTCTAAGATTTCAACATTATCCCAGTCAAACTGATGTCCATAATTGTCTATGTGCATTGATATGAAAGAATATATATCGTGTCTTTTCACGGCTGATTTGTGTTCTTGGATTCTGATTCGAAGGGGACACCCTCTTTGTTGACCGATGTAATGGCTGTTACAGTTCATGTATGCAATTTATTTTGTAAATGGTATTAATTTTATCTCCTGTTTCTGATGGGTCTTTCGGTTTGCATAATATCGAATAAAGCGATTTGACTGGCTTGTGTGCTATATCTATATCAAACGGCTTCAGTATTCTAGCTGTTATTTCAGAAATATTTCCGATTTATGGTGGAATGAATTTCTTTTTGGCCTGTGGTGATGGTTCTTTGTTGGTGCTGTGATTTGATTTTAAACACTTTTTGATGAAATTTTGTGGATAACCATTCTTTTTGAAGACCGTTTGTAGGTATTTTTCTTCCATTCTTTTCAACTCTGGAGTGCTACAGTGTGTGACTAAAAACGTACGTCCCTTGATTAATAGTTTGTTGGTATTCATCTCAATCTATTATGCACGAACAACGAGTCAGCAGGTTTCTAGATTTTAGATCATGAGCAATATTGTGATTCAGTCGTGTATTAATTTATTTATTGATTAGAAAAAAAACACTTTCATCCCCAAACCTACATTATGATATAGATTCCTCATTTGCGCACATCACCTTTGTCATGTCAGTATTTGCTACGAGAACATATGAAAGATCCTAACAACACAATGGATCACTCACTATCACTCTGTCCATATAACAATATAACTGTGAAACTGAAATTACATGACTTTAATTCAAAGTTGTCAGAAAAGCTGTTTGAATTCCATTTTTGGTAGATATATCGGAAGTCACACTGTTGATAAATAACAGTTTTGGTTTCATGTAGACGAAATTGTACGAATACAGGAGTTATCTTAGATGATTCTTCCCGTGCTTAATCTTTTTTTCAGCACGTTACATATACCATGCCACTTATGTCACGCCCAGCAATGCCAGCTGAATTAGGACTGGGTTGTAGAAGATTTAGGAGTGGTTAATTCAGAATAGAGTATTCATCTATGAAGTATTTAACTGTCTTTTTGAGCTAGGTAGGAAGACGTCGACGATCTGGATGTAGACTATTGGTGAAATGGCTCAAACTGGTTGCTAAATACATTCACTGTTCATGGTTCAAGAGATTTACTAAATCTTTATTAATTCTTTACACTTATTCTTTGTTTTGTATACTTTCGTATATTATTACTCAGAAGTGGCTTTAGAAGTGAAAATTAAAAGTTGTAAGTTACGTGGTACTCAACGGCACAAAGATAGAAATTTGATAAGGTTAAAATTGCTACTGAGTGAGAATAACCGTGATAGTTGAGTGTCAATTTAACAAGTGTGAAGAGGGCGTGAAATGTACAGAAGGAGCATATGAGGGTGATAATAGTGAATTATTTATTGAAGCAAAAGTAAACTAAAAGTAGAATTAAAAAAGAAAAAAGAAATCAAAAATCAAAAGTTTTTGCAGGGAACGACTAGTGAAGAGGTTAGGACCAAGGTTGAATAAGAGACTGGACAAACTTTTTCGGTATACAGGGTTTAGGGTTGTATTGATGAATCGCCAACGCCTCCACCGAAGTGCCGAAGAAACTCCTATTTATGAGTGCTGAATTTAAAGTTGATACCACAGCTGAGATGCTGAAGAATCGTTTATGCAAATCACTGAGGAAAGCCTTCTTTATGGCTGAGCTACGTATCAATTTCTACAGCTGATAAATGATCAGTGGATGTGTGAAGGATAAACTGCCGCTTTGGGCCACCTCAATGTGTGTTTATAAATTTACCTGTTCATGTGGAGCTAGTTACATTGGCCGCACAAAGCCCACGCTTTTCAAACGCATCTCTGAACATTATCCGGCATGGTTAGCAAAGGGGCAATGCAAGACAATTACCAGCTCAATTCTCTACACTCCGTGAACTCAAGATAGGTAGCTCCACCAGAGTTGTCTTTCAACATCATCTAAAAAGTGAAGCCAAATGGTACAAATGGCGTCAGGTTTCGGCTTTTGTGTATGGCAGAGGCGCTGGCAATTCGTCAACACAACCCTGAACTCTGTATACAGAAAATATTTGTTCAGTCTCTTATTCTACCTTGGTCTTAACCTCTTCACTAGTCGTTCCCTGCAAAAACTTTTGATTTTTGATTTCTTTTTTCTTTTTTAATTTTACTTTCGCTTCAATAAATAATTCACTATTATCACCTTCATATTCTCCTTCTGTACATTTCATGCCATCTTCACACTTGTTAAATTGACACTCAACTACCTTTATTCTCACTCAATAGCAATTTTAACCTTATCAAACTTTCGTAGATTCTAGTTTCTGTGGATTCCTCTTCTCTCTTTCTATCTTTGTTTGCAGTCTATGAGGAGTGTCAACTTGTACTGGCCCGCTTTAGTGCAACATTCTATGTTGAAAATTAACTTCATCACCACCCAGGTTCACAGGTGCACCATATTTTTATCTGTCATATATGTCATTGAAGGTATCCACATTTTCAGTGTGTTTGTTTAGGCGTCTAAAAACAATACGTCATTACTCTGATCTTGTATTTCCACTATCACAAGTGCTCAAACACAATTCCCCTAGCTATGTACTCAGTGGATTCACTTCTAGTTTGAGAAGTTATATATGTTCGAATGGATGGAGTCATACTGAGTAGTCCATGGTGTACACCATACTGCTGGATAATTTTATAGGTAGATTTTGTGCTTGGAGGCTGAAAGATGAACCGTTTATCAGTTTATTTCATTTAATCACTAAGTAAGGTTTATTATCAGGTAATTAGATCATCGGTATGTTAATCAGTAGAACCGACAGGTTATCCAAACACCACTCCTTATTGTTTTGAATGGCAGTAAAGAGATTTAGAACTATAATACAGAACACTACAATTTAGGATATACTCATAACGAATCAATCTTAGCGAGTAACACTGAAATTTAAATATAGTGAAATACTGTAAATATTTTGACGTCACTTCATGAGTGGTATGAGGGGTTGAACATATCAGAGGAATATGAGGTACTGGATTTCATCATGGGCTGACATTAGTTAGAGAACCATTGGAAAACCTGGGAGTACTGGACAACTGTTTAGTCCTAGTTTGGGACTCTTCACAGTACACATGCACCGGGATTCAAGCCCAGGACCTTCTGGTTACAAGGCCACAAGGTTACAATTGTATACGAGCTCGCCTTGTAACCAGAAGGTCCTGGGTTCGAACCTCGGTGGGTGCGTACTGATGAAGAATCACAAATTAGGCCGAAACAGCTGTCGAGTACTCCAAGGTTTTCCAATGGTTCTCTAACTAATGTCAGCTCATCATGAAATCCTGTAACTAATCAACCAAATCCCTACAAATCAACACTTGAATGTGATGTACATGAATTCACATGTGCAAACAAAACGTATGTAATCTCCCATTATGTAGATCCTACACACAACCAAATGTGGTTGTTATTAGTAAAAGTATGAAATCAATGGCTTTAAATTTACTTGCAATGCATGCATTTTGACTGTTGGTAAATTCACTAATTTCAGAAGTTACATCAGCCGGAATCAACTGATTGTTGACGAAATTTCAGTTCGAATGCAAAAAAACCTAATATAACACTTGGAAGTATGTCTCATCTTTAGCGTAGACGTAACACCCAATTATCAACCAAATAAAGTGTGTACTGCGAAGTATTGTGGTGCGACATACCTGCTGAAAGTGCCACAAATGCCGGCTAGCCGCCTTAGACCATTGGATTTTGCTTCCTTTCTTGTTAAGTGGTGTAATACAATCAGTAATACTGAGGTACTGGGTAATGAGGGGAGGTTACTCATTGATTAAAACGTCTAGGACAAATTTTATGCATACCAAGCCATTTTTTACTCCTCATCGAGCAATTTCGGCTGACATAGAATTGAATCAAAAAAGAGTTACGCGAGGTCAAATCAATATATGCGGACATTTCCTAGAAATCTTACACTACCACCAGTGCTAGTCTCGTAAGGAAGAATTAGACTGTTTGTCTCAGGTGTCTTCGAGACGCTGAAAACTAACTAAAGAATATTCTCTGTTAGATTAAAATTTACTTCATTTCGATCCTGTTATCCTATTTTTAGTGACTATTATCAATATCAATAACAAATATTTTAATGAAATGAAATTTATTTCAGTTTTAAAATATCCAATTAATGTAATTTAATCATTTGCCTCTTCTTGAAGAACAATAATACTTATGCTTTTTCTTCCTCGGATCCACCATCATCTTCTTCCTCTGATTGGACATTCTTATCACAAAAGCTGGAAAGAATAAAATAGAAGAGCATGTCAATAAATTGTTTCCTGTGGCCATTTAGTGGCTAACATATATATATATATATATATATATATATATATATATATATAATGCTGCTAATGGTCAGCAATGAAATTCTGGGATGTAAGTTTCTTCCTGTTTGAGATTGATCATCTGGTTGTACACGTATCCATAAGAATTAATCCTTCAAATTGAAGTATGCGCTGAAGATGTCACCCAGTAGGGTGATGAAAGCTTCGTAAATTAACCATCCAGCTCAGAGAACAAAACCACATCAAAATCATCCACCTGAGCTACAAATCTTCTCTATCATATCTAGAATTAATCCTCATTTGAACACCTTAAGTTATATCTGTCTTATGTAACTTTATCCATGGCCGTTGATTAGAGCTCCAATGATTGCAATCTGACAATTGTCATTTCTTTAATTTTACCCTGATTCCTAACCCAATAATATTATGCATATCCATCGACTTTAAAACGAGCGAAATCTGTTTAACATTGTTTAGATCAATTTTCAGGTACTGGTTTTGTAGGGATTTTAATTGATTACCTGGAGGATTTCATCATAAGCTGACATTGGTTAGAGAACCATTGGAAAACCAACTGGCAGTACTGAACAGCTGTTTCTTCCGCCTAGTTTGGGAATCTTCATCACTATGCACCCACTGGGATTCGAGCTAGTAAACCAAAAAGCCACTAGGTTCAAACCCCGGTGGGTGCGTACTGCTGAAGAGTCCCAAACTAGGCGGAAGAAACAGCTGTCCAGTACTGCCAGTTGGTTTTCCAATGGTTTGCTAACTGACGTTAGCTCATGATGAATTCCTCCATGCAGTTGTTTGGATTACTTCTATCTGGCTGACGAGTAAGCACTACTAGTTCTCGTGGGCGCCTTCCAACTACTCATAATAATGAGTAGTACATCCGACATAATTTATTTTGTGTTTGGCCCTGGTTCATGATATTTAAAACAAGCAGACTAACTCCTATTTCAGTCTTTTTAAATAAGCTATTTCTGTGGATAAGTATTACTATTAATATCAGTAATAATAATAATAATAGTGGTAATAATAGTAATATAACTTTCATATACATAAACAATCCTTTGTAAAGAATAAAGCAGTGAAACAAGTAGGAAACAATGCCACCATTCATTTCATCAAGAACTGTTTCTCGGAAAATCCCCCAGTCGATACTGCATTAATCTAGTTTGGTTTTTGTGCAGAGATGAGCTTAAATTCATACAATGCATATTTTCTCCAAGAACAAATATCAATTACACAGACAATGAAAAGCACAGAGTGCTTAACAGTTTTAGTTTGTGGCGGTTTAGTAGTATGAACCTACAACTCTAATAGGGACCAAGCACATGACCTTAAATTTTACTAGGTGGACACGATACGAATCAGCCAACATAGCAGGATGCAACGTCCCATGAACTCCAATTCTGAACTTCCACTGAGCGATTTATAACGCCATTGTCAGCCAATATCATCGACTCGCATCTGTTGTCATACCCGACTTAGCAGATACCACTGGTCATGGCTTCCTACTAGAACGCTAGAAAGTCAGTCAACAATGAGAATTGGATTAATTTTCAATTGCCGTTCACGGTACAGCTCATTGGTGTACACTGTTATATAGTCTCAAAAGTAGACAATACAGCTGTTCTTTACTCACTGGTTTTTAATGATATTGTAACTGATATCAATTCCTCGTCAAATCTAAATTGAGTTCAGTCAAATTCCCGCTGAAAACGAATTCAGGACACATGTTTATTCATTCATTGACCAGTGAATTACACTTCGTCTAGTGGGACATTTGTGGTTTCTTATCTCTACCGTCTATATAGTGACTAGTACACAATTTTCATACAGCAGTGAAAAAAGCGCAAAATTCTTCAGCATTATGTAGCGATTGTCTGTTATTTTAAAAGACCAGGTTACAAAAATATCTTTCCGATGAAATCCATAACAAAATATGAAGCGTTATTATTTTTATTTATTTATTGATCCCTTAGGTTCTTAATAGAACATAGAGCTTTATCTGCACGTCTCCACTTGCTTCTGTCTTCCTTCTGCTTTACTTTTCACCTGCATCCATGTTACTCCAAACTGACTGTTTCAACTCCTCTCTCTTCACACGATCTACTCCATGTCACCCTTCCACTGACGTCCCACTCTCAGCGTGCTTCTCTTTCGGCCTGGTTCCACTCGAGCAATGGCCTGATGCGCGCGCGATGTCACCCAGCGACCTCCTCACCTCAGCCAGTGTCTAATCCATCACAATCCACTTTCTCCTGCATATTTTTAGTTGGCAATTGGTTTGTTCTTGTTTTGTGTGTTCTTGTAGCTTTTGCTGGTGATTCTTTCCGGCCCAGCCCGGACATCTGATCTTCAGTATAGAGCCAGCGAAGCCAGTTGTTGGTTGATAAAGGTCTGCAACAGGCTGTTGTTGAAAATATTCTTTGTCACCCGCTCGCCCGTCAAGTTTTTGATCCGTATCGAAGAACTGACTGACTCGACGTGTTTGTATTGAAAATCCAACCGAATTTAGTTGTTGATGCTGGCTGAGTGACGAAGATTTCCAGATTGGTTTCAGGTTGGTTGATGAATGTGTTTCTCGCTCGCCTTCCCGATTCTCGCTCGATTTGACATCCTCGTCCGTTCCTACTGCCTGTAGTTGAGACAATGCTCCTTAGATGAGTGAGTGAATGAAGTGACGTCTTTCAAATCCCTCTGGTTGATGGTGATTGGCGCTGGATGTTCCTGTTGTTGTTGTTTTTGTTGTTGGTTGGTTGGTTGGTTATTTTCATAACCTCCGTCTTGTCTATGTTCACCTGGAGTCCTGTCTTCGACGGCTGATTCTTCGACCAGTTCGTCTGTCGATTTTCGCTTGTAAGTCTTTGATTTCGTGTGTGTGACATCAAACATAAGTCATCCACGCGCGAAATCCAGGTCTAGGTTCTAGGTTCTTCACGTCGGTCCAGGATATCCCTGTTCTGTTTCTCGTTTCCCACTCACTGTCTGACGCATAATCCAGTCCACCACAATTAGGAATATCATTCATTGGTGATAATAAGCAAGCACCCTTGTCTGACTCCTGTGTTTATTCCAAACGCCTCGCTGAGTGGGTTTTCCGTCGTGGATCACTTGACAGATGGAGTTGTCATACAGCTGTTGAATAAGGTTGATGAATATTTGAGGTACGCCGTAGTACTCAAGTAGTTTCCAAATTACTTCGCGGTCAACGCTGTCTGTCGAAGGCCTACTCAAAGTCTATAAAGTTAAGGTAGAGGTTCGACTGTCATTCCATGCTTTGTTCTGTGATGATGATGTGTAGAGTTTCAATTTGGTCAGAACATGATTTGCCTGACTTTCCTGAATCCAGCTTGTTCTGGTCTGGTGGAATTCTGTATCCAGTGCGTCCTTAATTCTCTCCAGGATGATGCGACTCAGAATTTTACTTGGTGTCGACAGGAGCATGATTCCCCGCCAGTTCTTGCAGAGTGAGGCGTAAGTCGGCCTTCTTTGGTAGTTTCACGAGGTAACCTTTCTTCCCGTCAGTAGGCACCTTTCCCTCCTTCCAGACCTTTTGCAATAATGGAGTCAGCATATCTGCTGTCGTCTCTGGGTCCGCTTTGAAGAAGAGTTAGGCTACGTGAATTAACATCAATCCAGAAAGTTCACTGTGATGCTAAGTGTTCTAGTGTGATGATCATGCTACAAACTTGACTAATAGATTTCTGTTAACATTACCAAGAGCTAGACATATGACACTGAGTACTCCCCAAGTAATCTGATTTTGTAAAATGCTGACATATTTTGAGGATATATCATATTACATTTTGCCCTGAGTTTATGCGTAAATTATTATTATTATGAAAATGTAAAACAAAATTATATTGACACTTACTCAGTTACTGAACGAGTACCCTTTTTAGCCTTTAATTCTTCTTCAGTTGGTCGTGCAAAATCAATTTTTGTCCAGCATTTCCCATCATCTACTTTTAATACCAGCTTAGAATCGAGTGAGTACTTTACTCCATCAATTGTAATAATCATTTCACCTTAGAGAAATTCGAAGAATACAATGACTTTATATTGACGAATATACAAATATATTAAGTAAAAAAGCCGTCACCCTTGAAGCTGAAAGGATTAAAACAAACATTTTTAAAAATTTTCATTCATTTGCATTCCCAGTGGAATAAAGAATTTGAAAAGCTTCAGAAGTGGTATTGTTCTCACGAAGAGGAGTTACCGGCTTGTCTTCTCATCATACAAGGTGAGGTTATATCAGTCCATCGGTCATGAATCATGCCTGGACTAAATGCACGTTTGGTGAGCAATTTACGATTGAACTACCGAAGCATATGTTACAGATATTACCACTGAGCTATCCAGACTCACTAATTATGTCTTCTGGAACTTGAATAGGCACTCTGACTGGTCATTAGAGAGTAATTAATGTTATATATATATATATATATATATATATATATATATATATATATATATATATATATATATATATAATTTCGTACTTTTTAAAACAACTTACCACTGTCATCCACAATGAATGGAATTTTCTTGACTTCCTGTTTACCTTCCGTCACCGAATTTGAAATGATTAACAAAGCGAAAATGCCAAAGATCATTGAAAAGTTGTTCATTTTATTTTGACTGCAATGAGTATCGAACAGAACAAACAGTGATTATATTATACTAGATAATAGTCTTCATTTAGTAGTAAGCGAATAGTGATCTCAAGCCAAAAAATTTCTTTATGAAAACAGATTACGTAATCATTTAGCAAACTTAATAATAAACAAAAAAGGGACCAGAGGCACACTGAATGCTCTAAGAAACATGATAAAACACATACTAATGATGTGTGTCTAATGGTCTAATTGGATTGAATACTCAAAATCCTGAGTTCGAATCCAATCTCACCCACTTCAACCACGGCAGAGGAGTATTATGACCAGCCACCGCATAATAAATAAGCATAGTAGCCCCCAGTACTGAGTAACTCAGTTCTAACTAATCACTAAAACTTCAAATCTGTTTCCGAGATAAACATTGAGAATGTGAGATAGCTTTCATCAATACGTGTAAATTTGCGACTAATGTTTTCCCCAGTGTATCTCCTACCTGCATCTGTTTTGAGTGGTGCAGATGAAACTAGAAGAAAGGCTTCAAGGTTTCGATTTGTCCACTACCATGACTGATACCTAGTCTTTACTACTCCACACACTTGTCAGGAGGGAAGTGTTCATTCTTCTTTTGTAAATACTAAGTACTTAGACAAATGCCTAAATACTTTATTTTTGTAATAAACAAGTAGATACAGAAATGCAAGAACCACGTTTCATTCTGTGTTTCAGTTTAACAACGACACAGGCAAGTTACTCCATGTCTAGTTAGAATTATAAAAAATAAATACAGGATTTCATCATGAGCTGACATTGAGTAGAGAACCACTAGAAAACCTAGGAGTACTGGACAGCTGTTTCGTCCTAGTTTGGGACTCTTCAACAGTACTCAGCCACCAAAATTCGAACCCAGGTCCTTCTGGTTAAAAACCGAGCTCGTTGACCATTAACCTACTGGGACCTGATCCAATAGCCCATGAATTCCAACTACTGTCACTTCACGATATAGCGCAACCTCTAGATGCCCACTGGCGATTGGCCCTATTCAGGTATGTAGTTATTTGTGGTTCCAGTGGGAAGTCGTAACCAATCAACCAAATCCCTACAAACCAATACTTGAAAAAACGGATAAATTTACTCAAAGAAAATAATCAGTAATTAATCTCGTAAATCACACCACAGGCAGCTGAATGAAACCTGACTTGTAAGCTGTAATTTCGGCATAAACTCGCAAGGAAATCAAATGAACCCGCTGAAAGTGATGACAGAGAATGAAGGGTGTAGTGGAGATATGTCACTGTTCTATTACATTCCACTCAGAAGCCAAGAAATGAGAGAAATATTATACAATAACAGATATAATGAAATATTATTGTTGCTATCAACATGACTTACATAGCTGATTATGAAGTAGAACCACTATTCCCTTTGTTTATATACTCTTTTTTTATTCTGGTATAATTTTAGGTCGATCCAAGTTTCTAGTAATAAGTGATATAATTATCTATCTAAAGGGATTAATTTCAAGCGTAATAGTAAAGTGTATGAAGTTTATATTCAAAGGGGATAGTTACCCGGTTAATTGGGGTCACTAAGATTTTGTCGAATGAATTGATATTAAATAAGAATAATGATCACAATTATTAATTTCTTATGAATAATCAATTCATAGTGGACTTTTCACATTCACAGTTGGCTTCTACACTTAATCGCATATTTTGCATTCTTCTAAGTTGGCCGAAATATAATTCAGTAGGCTAAAACCAATCTGGAAATCTTCGTCACTCAGCTAGCATCAACAACTAAATTCCGTCGGATTTTCAATACAAACACGTCGAGTCAGTCAGTTCTCCTATACGGATCAGAAACTTTGGTTGACAAAGAATATTTCCAACAACAGCCTGTTGCAGACCTTTATCAACCAACAACTGGCTTCGCTGGCTCTATACTGAAGATCAGATGTCCGGGCTGGGCCGGAAAGAATCACCAGCAAAAGCTACAAGAACACACAAAACAAGAACAAACCAATTGCCAACTAAAAATATGCAGGAGAAAGTGGAGATGGATTGGACATCCGCTGAGGAGATCGCTGGGTGACATCGTGCGCGCGTCAGGCCATTGCCCGAGTGGAACCAGGCCGAAAGGAAGCATGCGGCGAGTGGGACGTCAGTGGAAGAGTGACATGGAGGAGATCGTGTGAAGAGAGAGGAGTTGAAACAGTCAGTTTGGAGTAACATGGATGCAGGTGAAAAGTACGGCAGGAGGAAGACAGAAGCAAGTGGAGACGTTCAGTTGAAGCCCTGTGTTCCACTAGGAACCCAAGGGAACAATAATAAGAAGAAGAAGCTGACAATAGTCTTTTATTTATCTATAAAGTAAAAAAAAACTACTATCTACTGTCTCTATATTCAAATGTATGAAACAAGTCATGGGCGAATCCCCTGTAATTCAGACCTGAAAGTTTAGACCATTTCACAGATGCATTATTCACTAGTCTGTTATTTATCATCCTTATTCTCCTAATTCCCGAGTGAAAAAGCACCTTTCCATTCCATCATGTTCTTTACTGCCCTTTCTAGTTGGCTCCATGATTGTCCATAAGCTTTCAACTCCTCATACAACCTCTTCCATATCAACCCTCGGACTTACTCCCAGTCGTCGTCTTAGACTCCAGTCCCATTCGAGGGCTTGATGCGTGATATGTGTGAACGGTCACCTAAACAGGTATGTTTGATCCAATTCCATTTACTTCGACTTATTTGTTGGACACATGGTTCTGGATTGGTTCACTGCCCGCCAAAATTCCTTGTTGATAACCTTATCTAACCAGACATCTGATCTTTAGTATCGAGAGAAGGTCTTCTGGAAATAACTTCTTTGGCGAACTGAGACTCTGAACCACTTAAAAGTACAGATTTGACATGTGCTGAAAATCGGGATCTTGTTCCTTTTGCTGTTTGGAACAGGTTTCTACAGTTAGAAATCAGAAATATCGTTGCTGATGGTAGGTAACCTTGTTTCACTCTTGTCTTCATTTCAAAGGTTTTGCTGAGTTATCCATTGTAAATCACTTGACATGTGGCTTTATAATAAAGCTATTGAATGAGCTTGATGAAAATTCTGGGCATTGCACTCCATAGTGTTGGAGTAGTTCCCAAACTGCTTCACAGTAAACACTGTCAGAGGCCTTTTCAAAGCCGAAAGAGTTGCATAAGAGATCTAACTGCCAATTTTAGCTCTGGTGGACGACGTTGCCTAGCGTTGTAATTTGATCAGAGGAGGATTTTGGTTTCCTATTTCTGGTAGGGGCTCTGCATCCAAGTTCATCTTTCATTCTCTCCAGGATGATGCGATTTAGTATTCTATTTGGAGTGGATAGGAGGATGCCTGCCCACCAATCCTTGCAGAGGCTTATGTCGCTTTTCTTTAGTATTTGATCACTAGGAACCTTTCCTTCCTTCCAAACTTTTTTCAGGTCTACGGATCAGTTTTCACTGCTTGCAGAGGAATTCTACCTGGTCCTGTTGCTCTCCTGGACTAAAGTACCTTGTTTGCACTCAAGATTTCTGTTTTTGATGGAGGACCGGTATCCACTGGCACTTCTGTGTGGGCTGTTCCTTGCTCTTCTGGACGAGTTGCAGGTGATTGTCGATTCAAAAGTCCTTAGCGGGGATCAGTCCATTGTTTTATTAGCGTCTCTTTTTTGGGAATAATGTTTCCTTGACCATCTTTAATAGGTTTCACTTGCGTTGATCTCTCCCCGAAAAGAGACCTAGTTATCTAGAATGATGTTAGGCGGTTTATTTTGCTTGCGGCCTGCCTACCTGTCCTGCTTCAGTTGCCAACCAGTGTGTCCTAGAACTGTATTTTGTCTCTCCTAGCACTCTTCTTCACTTTTTTATTCAGTGCAGTGCACATTGTACTAAGCTTCTCCTTCTGTTGCCCATCTCTGTATTGACTCATGTTCTCTTCCACCATCCTCCTCTCGTCGATTAGCTTCCATGTAGGTAACCGTTGACAGCCATTCCTTGTCTTGTCTCTTCTTTCTCCCTAGAACATCTGTACACGTTTCCTTGAACAGCACTTTCAGAAAGTTAGTTACAGTGTTCTTACACATAGGTTTCCTCAGTGATGCCACATAGTTTCTCCGACTGTACTCTGATCTGATCCGTAGTGAAGGTATCCCTCGAAGTTTTGATATTCACTTTCTGAATTTCGAACTTGAATTACAGTGGTCTGTCTGCATTTACTGTCAGTCGAAGATCTCCGAAGGGGTCAACCTTTTCTAACTCTGCCAAACCCACAGCATGAATGCAGAGTTTTTGACTTTTTGGTTGTCTGAAGAAAACACCTTACTACTGTTATACTTCTGTTTCCCAGAAGTACAACTCTGTCCTTTGATCTTAAACATTTTATGCGTGACATTCACTATGATGGTAACTGCTATCCAAGTGACTTTCTTAATATGGTACAGCCTTCAGAAACATTCGTTCAAGCCAATGTATCCAGAAACAAACTTGTCATGTACCAAGCTATGGGATGCACTTATGATGTTAAGGTGGAATTAAGTAGATCAAGTATATGGCCACTGAAACCCATTGATTGTAAGGTGATGTTCTTTATGCCTATGAGTCATATTTTCACTATTCCAAGCAATAAAGAGTAAAAACTTTTGCCAACTTATGAATCACCAATTATCCTTGAGTTCCTCTTATTACTCTTTCTCTACTTTAACAATGATGAAAACTTGAAATAATCCTCTCCTTGTCTTAAAGCCACTGTGGTGATTGACAATTTCTATCTCTTTATTGTTTAAATACTTACTGTTGATTGTTAATATGTTTCTTATATGAATTGAATTACATTATAATTCCGCTAAATACAAATTCTTGAATTCCGCCCTCTCTGTGTTTTGGTTGGATTCTTGTAATTCGGTCATCTCGAAATACTAATACTACAATTACAAATAATTACAACAAATTGGCGTTGCGATGGAACTAAATAACCTTGTAAAATTT